TATCCAGCCTTGGCCAGTCGCCAAAGTGTTCCTTCCGTTCCGGCAGGTGGCGATGCCAGCAACGTGCTGCAGGAGGTTAGCCTGCCTGTGGTGGGCATCAACGAGTGCCAGTCCAAGTACGAGTCGGCGTCGAGCTTCCAGAGACAGTTCCCAGGCGGCTTCGGCGACACCAAGCTGTGTGCCGCCGAGAAGGACGGCGGCAAGGACGCGTGCCAGGTCAGTGCAGGATCACGTCTGGTCACCTCAGGCCATCAGTTCAAGATCACGCCTGTTTAGTTCCGGTCGTCAGTTCAGGTTCACATTTGTTCACCTCTGGTCATCAGCTCAGGGTCACGTCCGTTCACCTCTGGCCATTAGTGCACTGTCACGTCCGTTCACCTCTGGCCATTAGTTCAGGGTCACGTCCGTTCACCTCTGGCCATCAGTACAGTGTCACATTCAGTCTTCTATGACTAGATGAGGAATATGTTCCCTGCCGAGCCGTTATAGATTGACGCATAGCCACTACGGCTAACTGACGTACATATGACCGGCTAGATCAGTGCATACTCACACTGGTCACCTCTGTCTAACTGGACTGACTGGTTCTAAGCCGCGTCTATGTTACAGCTGTAAGTCGCTTGAATGTCAGTCACCGCCTGTTAAATGGTAGCGTATTCTATACGACAGAGCAGATTCAACGCATAAGACTGTCATTGTAAGCATCTTCACACATCAGTGCACCATGCCCTGAAGCCAATCCTATATGCCGGGAATAACATACTTGTGGAAACATTTCTGCGTAACATCTTTTTGAAAAACGTAGCATACAATTCGACGCATCACAAGTTACATTGTCGATCTCCATAAAATAACACTGACCATGGCTTACTTCTGCCACCTATATACCATGTGGAAAGTGTGTGTTTCTGCTGTCGTCCGCAGGGCGACTCTGGCGGACCGATGGTGCTTACGGGTGCCGACGGCAAGTATCAGCTGATTGGCGTCGTGTCGGCCGGAGTGGGCTGCGGCACTCCCGGCTTCCCCGGAGTGTACACTCGCGTCAGTGCCTATCTGGACTGGATACAGCAGAACAAGTTCTGATGCGTCTTTGAAGACACAGAGACGTCCGACAAAGCGTGCCTTCAGGCCCCAACTATGAGCCTGTTCATCGTGATTCGATATTGTCTGTATGAAAATTGTAGCAAACCCTTAGACGCGCGGAGTGCCTTGAGAAGAAACCATTCCAGGCGAAAAAGGTGAAGACGGTCAGCTGCATTGTTACCGCAGCTGTTTACATCAGTACTATTTTGAACAATTTCTCACTAACTGTTGCTATAAAGCTGCCCATAATTCGCATATACCTGATGCACACGGGCATGGTTAGAATTGATGCAGTGGATTGTCTGTCTCTAGATCAAGACGATTAAAGCGGTCCGTCTGCTCTAGCAATGTGCGTGAGTGAGGAAATATTCTGGGCTGATGACGTTGAGTTAGTGATCCTTGTTGAAGCGATCTTTAAAAAGGGAAGACATGCTGACCAGCTTGTCACACTTGGTGCCTTCTCTCAATGCCAGTGCTGAGCGAGTCCACCCAGCTATGGGAGCGGTGAGCATTGATCGTCGCAATTCGTTCCACACTTTCTCGAAGAGCCAGACGAGAACCGTGGAGCTAAGTGAGTGTGCCGTTTTTTCTCAGCCTAAACCTTTTACAGCACTCGTGACATTTTTATTTCGGCTGACAATATTTGGATCAGTGGCGTTGATCTTGAACCGGACTGCAATAAACCTTTTACTTGAAAGTATATGAATTACACGTGTTTTCAAGAGAACAGGCGCGAACCAAACATTTATGATGCTTAGCAACGCCATTGCTTCTTTCTTTAAAGGAACAACATAATGGAGCAATGCAAAACGATGAAGCTCCTATGATGCTGATTACGTCACATCCTAATGAAAGCTGGCTGCTGCGAGGCAGACATGGGAGTCTGCGCCCCAAAATGCCGCTCATGACGCCTCGTCGAGCGCTGTCGATCGACATTAACCGAGAGGGCTGAATGACGCTAGATGGCACGTGTTGCGTGACGCTTTTAGGATCCGTGCGAACTATTTGGCTAACATGTCGGCAGGAGCATATTTGACGAACTAGCTGCATTTTGTCTGCAGAGGCGAGCTCAGGGACCTCGCAGCCAGTTTCCCCGAATTTTTTGGTTCAAAAGCAATTCCTAGCAAAGATCTGGTAAAAATGTTAACAACGTTCCCCGACTTGCTAAAACATTTCTTGTCCCTTCTTAATTACCTGAACAGCATTTCCGCGACCAGGACTTGCACACAAAAAAAACAAGCATGCAAAGAAGACGATACCGTTGCACAGCTTCTACGCAGACAATGTTCTGACCCCGTTTGGAGCCATGACCACCAGCCAAAAATGCGAAAAAGTGTCTGAAGTAAGCAACGAAATGCGGCAGAGTAAACACATGCTCGCACTAATAGAAAATGCTTTAAAATGTTTCATGACAGGATATCTCCTAATAATTGCGTCACTTGAAAGCTGAGCAAACTCTCACCACACTTGTGAATGCCTAATGCCAGCTCCTCAGATATTCATAGACTAGAAAAGTGCTCAAAAATTCCATCCTGTACCATTTGCAAAGATCTGTTGAACTGTATGTCAAAGATCTGTTCCACAGGCGTGTGGAATGGTGTCCGATGATATGTGTTTAACCGCGACTGTTTGGATAGGGTGGGGCCCGCCACCGCTGGCTCCCGAAATCCCTTTATTCAATCAATGCGCTTTCAATAAATCTCAGACGTCTACCCCATCCAACACATGGCAATGCTCCTAATTTGCGCCCTCTGGATTGGAATTCGACCAATCTGCATCGCTGGCCCAGAAGCCGACCCAGATCCGCCGATCCCTTCGAATCCTGGGCTTTCACGGAAGATTACGCCTTGATGTGCGCGCCGCTGGTGTGTCTCCGTCGACTGCTTCCGTTGTACGCCAGCTGTCGTCGGCCGGCCGCAGCGCCGCGGCGCTGTGCGTAACTCTCGTGATGGCGGGGGCTATGGATGAGCAGCCAGCCAAGCTGCTCCAGCCGTCCTCAGCGTCACCAGTTGGCCGCTGACCGTCCGTCAGCAGTGGATCGGCGGCCGGGCAGGGTCGGTCCGTCCGTCAGCAGTGGATCGGCGGCCGGGCAGCGGCGGTCCGTCCGTCAGCAGTGGATCGGCGGCCGGGCAGGGTCGGTCCCGTCCGTCAGCCAGTGATCCGCGGCCGGGCAAGCGCCGGTCCGTCTGTCAACAGCGGATCGCGGCCCGGGCAGCGCCGGGTCCGTCCGTCAGCAGCGGATCTGCGGCCGGGCAGCGCTGGTCCGTCCGTGAGCACCGAATCCGCGGCCGAGCAGCGCCGGTCCGTCCGTCAGCAGCGGATCCGCGGGCCGGGCCAGCGCCTGGTCCGTCCGTCCAGCAGCGGATCTGCGGCCGGGCCAGCGCCGGTCCGTCCGTCAGCAGTGGATCCACGGCCGGGCGGCGCCGGTCCGTCTATCAATAGCGGATCCGTGGCCGGGCAGCGCCGGTCCGTCCGTGAGCACCGGATCCGCGGCCGGGCAGCGCCGGTCCGTCCGTCAGCAGCGGATCCGGGCGGCCGGCAGCACCGGTCCGTCTGTCACCAGCGGATCCGCGGCCGGGCAGCGCCGGTCCGTCCGTCAGCAGCGGATCCGCGGCCGGGCAGCGCCGGCCCGTCCGTCAGCAGAGGATCTGCGGCCGGGCAGCGCCGGTCGGCCGCCGCAGCGCCTGCTGCGGTGGGCCGGGGCTCGCTGCGGCGCAGCGACCGTGCTGGCCGCCCTGGAGCGGGCCCCGCCGCCCCGCCTAATGGAAGTCGACACGCGGGACAGCGCAGGGCTGGACTGGCGCCCGAGCGCTGCCCAACTGGCGCCGAGCGCTGCTCACTGACGCCGAGCGCTTGCCCAACTGGTGCCGAGCGATGCCCTCACAACTGATGCCAAGCGCTACCCAACTGGTGCCCGGACCTCTAGCAGCTTCTGATGCCAAACTATCGGTCCCGTGTGAGTAAGCCTGCGCCAACCACAGTAATCTACGAGGCAGTCCCACGCACCCGCAGTAGTAATATTTGAGTAAACCTTAGTCCATTTGCACTAGCGTTTCACGTTGAAGACAGCCTCATCCACCCACAGTCTATGTTGGAAAACAGCTTTAGCCACCCACAGCAGACCTTGATCCGGTCTTATTCAACGACAATCACGTTTGAAGCCCCTTTTCTAGTCTTATCAACCCACAGTGATGCTCAAGGACAGTCCTACCCAGCACAGTCATGCCTCAGGGTCCGAGCCATCGATAATGACGCCCAAGACAGTCCACACACCGACAGTATTGCCCATCTTCGAGACAGCTCTACCCACCCACAGTACTGCCCATCTCTGAAACAGTCCTATCCACACACAGGACTGCCCGTCTCCGGGACAGTCCTACCTGCCCACAGTACTGCCCGTCTCCGGGACAGTCCCACCTACCCACAGTACTGCCCGTCTCCGGGACAGTCCTACCTGCCCACAGTACTGCCCGTCTCCGGGACAGTCCTACCTACCCACAGTACTGCCCGTCTCCGGGACAGTCCTACCTGCCCACAGTACTGCCCGTCTCCGGGACAGTCCTACCTACCCACAGTACTGCCCGTCTCCGGGACAGTCCTACCTACCCACAGTAACTGCCCGTCTCCGGGACAGTCCTACCTGCCCCACAGTACTGCCCGTCTCCGGGACAGTCCTACCTGCCCCACAGTACTGCCCGTCTCCGGGACAGTCCCTACCTGCCCACAGTACTGCCCGTCTCCGGGACAGTCCTACCTTCCCACAGTACTGCCCGTCTCCGGGACAGTCCTACCTGCCCACAGTACTGCCCGTCTCCGGGACAGTCAGATAGATAGACAGAGAGATGGGTGTACTTACAGTCTCGTATGTGCCAGCATTACATACCATGGGTAACTCTTTTCAGAGTTGGTGTCTTGAGCCACGGTTTGGAACTCAAACCCCAGTCCCCCAAATGAACAGACACCTACGCCGCTGCCCGTAAGAGAAGACCAGCCACACTCGCCTGGACCAGCCCGACACTTTCACGGTACCGTCTGAGGCTCATCCCGCCTATAGCCGCCATACCGCCGGGGTCTGCCCCGCTTGCCCACGTGTTAGACCCGCCCGTGGTCAAACCTCCGCTTGACCGACCAGCGGCATGGCTTAGTTGGCCCCAGCCTGGTCATCGCTGGGCCCCCCTGCACCCGGCGTTCGACGGTAGTCACCGGCGCGAGGTCGCTCCGCTGTGGCGTGTGCTGAGCACGCAGCCGCAGCGGCTGGACCCCCGCGGCTGACGAGAGAGGGCCGTACCTTGGCCTCCCTCCGTTGGGGATTAGGAGGCATGCAAGCTATTACGGTAATGCGGTGGGGAGGTGGCCGAGAAACTCCTGACCGCGGCTGGTCGGCATTCGTTGATCGTGCCAGCGGCGCACCTGCTGGGCGCGCAGAGGATTCTGATGCTGCGAGCCAGGTGGGGCCTCGCATGCGGGACGTGGATGCATGCGGGCTACATCGCGTGTCATAGCTTTCTTTCAGATGCAGACAATGGCACATGACTAAGCCTGCGGTACAGGACTAATCTCTGCCATATTTATCCGTGATTTGTGCACGAGTATAGAAATGCTGACTTCAGTCTGACGACATGTCGGCGGATCAGTCATGTAACCGGGAGTGCGGACACAGAATCGCTTGAGGGCGTATTACAGCCGCATTTTCTTTTTTATCTCATGCGGCTCCCAACTGAAAGTGAAAATTGGCACGATACCTTTACCAAGCCCCCCCCCCATCTCAAGGAAATCCTGGCAGGGCCTCTACATGTAGCGCCATGGCCGCGTGATGCCACTCAGCGAGGAGCATTCAGAAGGCACCAAAGCGTTCACAAAGCACGCCACGTGGTAGATCAGCGCGTGTTCGTCGCACCAGTTCAAGCCCTTTTAATCCGGAAAGCAAAAGATGGATACGAGAATCGCATGATGTTATCTTGCAGCTCAGATAAGATAAAAGACTCGCCCAGTTTCCATAAGATGAGCGCCGCTATCCAGGATACCTACGTAGTGAAGACCTTCAACGCTCGGCTCGCTATGAGGATCATTTGCTCCTTGGTGATACTTCAGCGCAGTCGGAACATCAGCAAGGACATCTCAACACCGCACAGTGAGGAGAGAGGAGCATCTCACCACTGCGCAGTGAGAACATAGGGAGCAGCATCTCACCACCGCACAGCGAGGACAATGAAGCGTCTCATCACTACACAGTGAGGACAGAGGGATGTCCCACCACCACACAGTGAGGACAGTGAAGCGTCTCATCACTACACAGTGAGGACAGGGGGACGTCCCACCACCACACAGTGAGGACAAAGAAGCGTTTCACCAACGCACAAGGAGAACAGTGGGGTGGTTCACCTCCACGCGGCGAGAACATAGGAAGAAGGATCTCACCACTACGCAGCGTGGAAAGTGGGGCGTCCGACCGCCGCACAGCGAGGACGGTGGGGCGTCTCGCCATCGCACAGCGAATGCCAATGAGTGGCAAAAATGTGTTCAATGCTACAGGGGACATACGATACACGCTCGTCTCTCCTTTTGCAAGGACGGATAGGGACTGCTGCACTCCCAGCTGGTTCGCGTCCAATAATTCCCAGTCCGCCTGTCACTTGTCATACAAACGAAGTAAACGCATGCATATTAGTGGTGGGCAATGACGTACAAAGCGCGTGA